AGACAGACTAAGAGGAAAACATATAGATATGTAAACAGACAGATAAACGAACAAATACAGATAGAGGCAGACACACGGACAGACAGGAAGAAATGATTCGATGGAAAATGAGAGACAGATAGAAAAAAAGGAAAACAAATAGAAGAAAGAGATTAGACAGATCGAGCGAAAGAGCAAGACAGAGAGAAAGTAAGAGAAAAGAAAGAGATAGCATGAGACAAACAACAACAGAGAGAGACGTAGATCAAGCGAAAGGGAGAGAGAAAAACACAGACAGACAGAAAGACAGAGTCAGACAAAACAGACATGAACATGAACATGAGAGAAAGTGAGAGAGAGAGAGAAAGAAATTGAAACAGACAGAAACAGAGGCAGACAAACAGAGAACAAGCAAGAGAGAGAGAGAACCAAAAAGAGACAAACAGACAGACGAACAGACAGACAGGCAAAGAGCAAAAGAGCGTGAGAGAAAAGAAAAGGGAATGAGGTGACCATAATGAATGAGGCCAGAGGGGTAGGGGGTGGGGGGTGGGGGGTGAGGGTGACAGTAGCCTCACCGAACGCAACCGGAGAATCAGATTACAACGCCAGGGTAACATATACCTCGAGATGCTGTCCGTCTGTGTGTGTGTGTGTGTTTGTGTGTGTGTGTGTGTGTGTGTGTGTTTATGTGTATATGTTTGTGTGTGTGAGTGTGTGTTTATGCGTATATGTTTGTGTGTGTGTGTGTGTGTGTGTTTATGCGTATATGTTTGTGTGTGTGTGTGTGTGTGTGAAGGGGACAGGGTGGATGAGGGGGGAGAGGGGGGAGGGGGTGTTGAGGGGGGAGGAGGTGGAGTGTGTGGGTGGATTGGATGAGTGTGTGTGGGTGTAGATATGTGTGTATGTATGTGTGTGTGTGTTTGTTTTTGAGTGCGTTTTGTGTGTACATTTGTATGTATGTGTGCGTTTTTGTACGTATATACATGTTCCAATTTAAACGCACATTTACAAACACCTTCACTGATTTCCTCAGTATTTTCCACAATATTTTTTATCATTCTTAATTAAGAAAAAAAGGAAACCAAACTATCCAAACAAAAACAATAGACAAGAACAAAAACAAAAACAAATGAGACAAGAAAAAGGAAGAAAATAACAAAATAAGAAAAAGCAAACACAATAAAAACAAGCACATAGAAACAAAAAATAACAAAAACAAGAAAAAAATGATTAACAACATAACAAAAAACAAACAAAAATAAGAACAAAAACAAACAAAAATAAAGACAAGAAAAAACAAAAAGCTTGATAAAACAGGAACACAAAAAACAAGAAAAAACACACAAACAAAAACAAAAACAAGAAAAAAAAAAGAAAAACTGAATTCCCAAATGGCTTACGTTACTGCGTTCCGTCACCTCGATCTCGGAGATGAGATGCTGGCCTGTTGATGTTCCCTGGGATTTCTCGGATCTTTGAGGCAAAACATCCTCAGGAAAAGAAAGGAAGGAGAGAGAGAAAAAATAAATGAAAAAGGAGGTGGGGGAAGGGATAAAAAGAAAGAAAAGAGAGGGAGAGATTTTGATTTGATAAATTTATTACGTACAGTGGATGATAAACAGAGAGAGAGAGAGAGAGAGGGAGGGAGGAGAGGAGGGAGGGAGAGGGAGAAGAGAAGAGAGAGAGAGGAGGAGGAGAGACAGAGAGAGAAAGGGGTGAGGGGGATTCTAAAAGTATCTCGATATATATACTCGATTTTACTTTTTCCTATTTCTGTGTCTCTCTGTCTGCCATCTCTTCCACTTTCTCACTGTTACTCTTCTCTCTCTCTCTCTCTCTCTCTCTCTCTCTCTCTCTCTCTCTCTCTCTCTCTCTCTCTCTCTCTCTCTCTCTCTCTCTCCCTCTCTCTCTCTCTCCTCTCTCTCTCCTTTTCTACCTACTCATAAAAAAAGGATTTTTTCCCCTCACTCTCTCGCTGGTGCTAATGTCATCAGGCAGGTTGAGGTGTCTCAGTGGCACTCTTATGGCACCCTGATACCTGTTGGTGGGCATGGGGGGGATGGGGGGGGGGCAGGAGGCACGGGAGAAGGTCACGTGATTTGATGAGACGCTGAATGGGCAAGGGTTGTTGAGGTTGTTCAGATAGCAACGGGGTTTTTGAATTATGGGTTTTTGTGAGGCTGTTTTTTTTTTCTTTATCTAATCTTCCCTCTTCTTCTTCTTCTTCTTCTTCTTCCTCTTGTGATGAGTCATAGGGAGATCCGTCTCTCTCTCTCTTTCTCTCTCTCTCTCTCTCTCTCTCTCTCTCTCTCTCTCTCTCTCTCTCTCTCTCTCTCTCTCTCTCTCTCTCTCTCTCTCTCTCTCTCTCTCTCTCTCTCTCTCTCTCTCTTTCTTTGAATTTTGAAGAATGTTGGTGAGGGGAGGGAGGGAGGGAGGGAGAGAGAGAGAGAGAGAGAATGAGAGAGAGAGAGAGAGAGAGAGAGAGAGAGAGAGAGAGAGAGAGAGAGAGGGAGGGAGGGAGGGAAGGAAGGAGAGAGAAAATGTTAAGGGACAGACAGACAGACAATTTCTTGTTTTTGTATTTTATAAACATGTATCTTTTTTTTATTTTCATTGCATGCCATGTTCATGTTTGATCCATTCTTTTACCTGACATAACCATTTTTTATTCATATATCATCATATCCCATTTTCTCTTTTTTTATTTCATGCTTATCTCATACCTCATTTTCTTTATTTTTTTTATATTTTTATAATTCCTTTTCCTGTTTTAAATATCATATCTCATAAATATCTCGTTTTCCATTTTCTCCATACAAATAGTTCCAATATTTTCTTTAAGAAACCCCACCTCACAACCTCATTTTCTCTAATATTCCCATACCCATTTTCTTTACTCAAATCCTATTTTGTAACCCATTTTCTATAAACACTGTTTCCCCCCACATCCCTATTTTCTTTCCTTATATCCCATTTTGTCTATCTTTTCCCCACAACCCATTTTTCGTAAACGAAATTTCCCCACCTACCCATTTTCTCTAAACAAAATTTCCCTCACCTACCCATTTTCTCTAAAACAAAATTTCCCCCACCTACCCATTTTCTCTAAAAACAAAATTTCCACCACATGCCCCATTTTCTCTAAAAAACAAAAAAATCCCCCACCTACCCATTTTCTTTATTTAAATCCCATCTCATACCCCCGTTTTCTTTATCCAAATCCCTCACCTACCCATTTTCTTTATTCAAATCCCATCTCATACCTCCATATTCTTTATCCAAATCCCCCACCTACCCATTTTCTTTATTCAATTCCCATCTCATACCTCCATTTTCTTTATCCAAATCCCCCACCTACCCATTTTCTTTATCCAAATCCCATCTCATACCCCCGTTTTCTTTATCTCTCGCCCTCAGGATGGACCACCTGGCCACGCCCCAGAGGTACCCGGATGAACTGTACCACAACATGACGTGGGAGGCTTACCGTCAGCCGGAGGACGAGTCGGAGATAGCGAAGTGGGTGACGAGGTGATACCAATATTAATCGTGCAAGGTGTTCGGTAGTTAGAACGTACATAATAAAGAAAAAAAAAAGGATAATAAGTAATGATATCAAAAGAGGGAGAGATAAAGATTAGATTTTCGTTGTTTGTTGTTGAGTTCGTGTTGTTTGTTTTTTTGTTGTTGTTTTGTAACTAATTTGTACGTAGTAATTTTTGTTGTTATTGAATGAGTTTTTTTTCACTCATTCGGACAAAGGCAGATCAATATTATTGTCAATATTAAAATAAGTCCTTTGTTCGTTTTTGTTTATTTGTTTTTCTTATCTTAGTTGTTTTCCTCTTTACTAATTCGTCCTTAAAGTAGTATTTGTTACCTTTGTAGAATATTATTCATTTATAAATATATATTAAAAATTAATACTAATTCGTAACACTTGCACGAGTAATAGTAGATTTATATGCCTCTCTGCCAGTTACGATGTTGTTCCAGGATTTTTATTTTATTATTTTTTTTTTATTGTAATTAATTTATCTTGTTATATTTATTTTTGTTTTGCAATTTTTTCTGGAGCTTCATCGTAATTTTGGGTTAGCACAGAGAGGTTTCCTGGTATTGATTCTATTTTTTAGTTACTGTATTCTTTCTGTATATATTATGCTTTTGTAAATATATTGTAGTTTTATGTTTCTCTGTGTATATATATAATATATATATATATATATATATATATATATATATATATATATATATATATATATATATATATATGGCTTGTCTCTTGCTTCTGTACATATGAAATAGTTTTAAGTTATATAGATATATGGGTATATTTTTTTGTGTATAAATATGTAAATATTTAGTGTGTATATATATTTTTTTTCTTATACTGTCATACTTTCTTTATCTTTTCTACATGGCAATCTTACACATATTTCCATTAATCACAGAATCGACAAACAATATTAATGGAAACACACACACACACACACACACACACACACACACACACACACACACACACACACACACACACACACACACACACACACACACACACACACACACACATACAATTTACTCTGATTTCCTAAAACTAAAAATGACATATCCGCCACATTTTCATCCCACTCACATAACCCCTGTTAACTTTCATCGAAGAATCAGGAAACCATTAAAAGTTTTCTCGAACCAAGTCCAAACAAACCCAAATCCTCCTTTACGAGAGCACATATTGAATTTAATCCTCTATATCCTCGTGAAAACCCTCCTCGATCCTTCGCACCTTTATTCCGACACGATTTCCACGTCACGCCAGGTAAATCAGCTGATCCCGTTTCCTTCGGCCTCACAAGAACGCGACCTGGAATTAATGGAGGCAAAGTTGTGATTGTTTGCGTGTGTGCGTGTGCTTTCTTTTAGAATTAATTTTCCTTTCAATTTTTCTAATGAGTGTTTGGTATTGTTGCGTGTGTGCTTTTGTTAAAAATGAATATTCCTTTCTATTTCCTAAT